CTTTCATTTCTTTTTCTTCCCTGATTGCTCTGGCTAACGCTTCTAGTGCTATGCCAAATAGAAGTGGTCAGAGTGGGCACCTTTGTCTGGTTCTGATCTTAGAGAAAGAACTTTCACCTATTCACCATTGAGTATGTTGTACTTTGTCAAATGCCTTTTCTGCATCTATTGAGATGATCATATGATTTTTATCTTTTATTCTATTAATATGGTATATTACATTTATTGATTTACATGTGTTGAACCATCCTTATATCTCAGGTGTTATTCCCATTTAATCATGGTGAGTGATTTTTTAAAATGTGCTGTTGATTTGGTTTGCTATATTTTGTTGAGTATTTTTGTATCTATATTCATTAACAATAATGGGCTATAATTTTCTTTTCTCATAGTATCCTTATCTGGCTGTGGTATCAGAGTAATGCTATCCTCATAAAATGAGTTTGGGGAGTATTTCCTCCTTTTCAGTTTTTTGAAAAGGTTTCAGGATTGCCATTAATTCTTTAAATGTTTGGAATAATTCACTAGTGAAACCTTCTGGTCCTTGGCTTTTCTTTGTTGAGAGATCTTCTTTATTACTGATTCAATCTCTTTACTTAAAAGTGGTCTGTTCAGATTTTCTATTCATTTTTTAAAAGGTACTATTTGTCTGAGAGAGAGAGCATAAGCAAAGGGGAGGGACAGAAGGAGAGGGAGAAGCAGGCTCCCTGCTGAGCAGCCTGATGCAGGCTACAATCCCAGGATCCTGGGATCATGACCTGAGCCAAAGGCAGATGCCCAACCAACTGAGTCAAGCAGGTGCCCCATTTCTTCACGTTTCAGTCTTCATGGATTCCATGTTTCTAAGAACTTATTTCTTCCAGGTTATCCAGCTTGTTGGTGTATAATTTTTCATAGTAGTCTCTCATGATCCTTTATATTTCTGTGATATCAGTTATAGGGTCTCCTCTTTAGTTTCTGGTTTCATTTATTTTAGTACTCTCTGCATTTCTATGTTACTCTAGCTAAAAGTTTGTTGATTTTTTAAAAAAGATTTTATTTATTTATTTGACAGAGAGAGAGAGAGAGACAGTGAGAGAGGAAATATAAGCAAGAGGAGTGGGAGAGGGAGAAGCATGCTTCCCACAGAGTGGGGAAGCCCCACATGGGGCTGAATCCTTGGACCCTAGGATCATGACCTGAGCTGAAGGCAGATGCTTAATGACTGAGCCACCCAGGTACCCCACTGACTTTTTTTTTTTTTAATCTAAAAATGTCAGCTCTCAGTTTTAATGATATTTTATATTTTTGGTCATGGAGCCCAATGTGGGGCTCAAACTCATGAACCTGAGATCAAGACTTGAGTTGAGATCAAGTGTCAGACTTAACCAACTGAGTCCCCCAAGGTGCCCCTGTTTAGTCTTTATTTCATGTATTTGTCTGGTCTTTGTTAATTCCTTTCTGCTAATTGGGCTTAGTTTGTTCTTTTACTAGTTCCATGAGGTGTAAATTGAGGTCTTCAAGCTACTTTTTGTTTCTTGAGGTAGTCAGAAATCACTATAAATTTCCCTCCTAGAACTGCCTTTAGGGGCACCTGGTCAGTTGTGTCTACTTTTGGCTCAGGTCATGATCCCTAGATCCAGGGATTGAGCCCCTCTTTGGGTTCCCTGCTCAGTGGGGATTCTGCTTCTCCCTCTGCTGCTCCCCCTGCTTGTGCTCTCTTTCTCTAACTCTCTCTCAAATAAATAAATAAAATATTTAAAAAAACTGCCTTTGCAGTCTCCCATAAGTTTTGAAATGTTGTGCTTTCATTTTCATTTGTTTAAGTTAGATTTTTTCTTTTTTTTTTCTTTTCTTTTTTTTAGAGAGAGAGCGAGAAAGCACAGGCACACATGGGTGCATGCAACTTGTTGGGTAGGTAGGCAGAGGGAGAGGAAGAGAAAGAATCTTAAGAAGCTTCCACTCCCAGCTTGGACCTGACACCAGGCTCGATCTCACAAGCTTGAGATCATGACTAAGTGGAAATCAAGAGTCACTTAACCAACTGAGCCACCTAGGCGCCCCTCCCTTTTGATTTCTTTGTTGACCCATTCAGGAGAATGTTGTTTAATCTCTCCATATTTATGTTTTTTTCCCCAGCTTTCCTCTTGTTATTGATTTCTAGTTTCATTGTGTTTGGAAAAGGTACTTGGTATAACTTCAGTCTTCTTAAACTTGTTTAATTTGTTTTGTGAATATCATGTGATTTATCCTGAAAAATACTCTATTTGCACTTGAGAAGAATATATACTCTACTGCTATTGGATGGAATGTTTTGGATATGTCTGTTGGGTTCATTTAGTCTAAAATTTGTTTCAAGTCAATTGTTTCCTTATTGATGTCCTGTCTCAACAATCTATTCATTGTTGAAAGTGAGGAATTGAGCTTGCCTATTATTGGATTATTTTCTATTTCTCTCTTTAGGTCTGTTTACATTTTCTTGAAATATTATAGATGCTCTGATGTGTGTGTATGTATTTGTTTGATTTATTTTCTTGATGTAGTGGCATTTTACCATTACATAATAACTGTCTTTGTCTCTTGTTACCATTTTAGACTTAAATTTTATATTGCCTTATTTTAGAATAGATATTTTTTTGTTTTTGCTTGCATGAAGTATCTTTTGCTATCCCTTCACTTTGAATCTCTGTATATGTTTAGAGCTGAGGTGAGTGTCTTATAGTTGGGTCTTGTTTTTTTAACCATCCAGCCACTCTGTGCCTTTGATTAGAGCATTCAATCCATTAATCAATTGTCCAATAAGAGTAATTATTGATAGGCAAGAACTTGCTAATGACATCTTATTATTTTCTAGTGTTTCATTGTTCCATTCCGCCTCCCCTCCCCCTTTCTTTATGCCTTCCTTTGCAATCAATGATTTTCTGTAGTGGTATGCTTTGTTTCCTTTCTCTTTATCTAAGTGTATCTATTTTAGATTTTTACTTTGTGATCCCATGAGGTTTACATCAAACATCTTGTGAAAATAAGTCTATTTTATGCTGATAACAATTTAACTTTGGTTGCATGCCAAAACTCCATCTTTTACTCTCTCTCTTTGTACATTTTTGATGTCAACACTTACATTTTTATTGTGTCTCCATCCATTAACAAGTTGTTGAAGCTATAGCTATTTTTACAAAAATATGTATTTATTTATTTTAGAGAGAGAGAGAGAGCATGTGGAGGCAGAGGGAGAGAGAGAGTCTCCAGCAGACTCATTGCTGGGCCTGGAGCCCAATGCAGGGCTCAGTCCCACAAACCTGAGGTCATCACCCAAGCTGAAATCAAGAGTCAGACACATTACCAGCTGAACCAGATGGGCACCCCTTTTTGTCGTCTTAACTACACCTTAGACGCATCTTTTCATTTGGCTCTGTAAACTTTCTAGAGCAGAGTTTCTCTCATGTATTTGAAATCATGTTTGTTTTCTGGGAACACAGAATATGCCAGGTGTAATTTATTTTTTCCTGTTCTAGGTGGGATTTATATATCCTCTAAGATTCCTAGATCCTTTTAATAAATAATACATATTACTTTAGATAAAGATGTAGTTTCTAGGGTCGCTTTGAGAGTTTGTGGGTAAGTAATATTGTTGCTGTGGAAATACTTTGGTTGTGACAGTGTTGAAAAATATATGTGTTGTCAAATCTATAATTTTACTTCCTCCCACTTCCAACTTAACATAGTAGTATTTCATTCAAGATCACCAAATATGTATGTGTGTGTACATATGTGTGTGTGTATATATACTTAAAATAATATTGTAGCTTAAGGAAGAAGGCAGGTGAAGGGCCATATTTTGGAAGCTAGAATTTAAGAAGGATCTCTAAGCTGCTGGATACTTGTTTTTGTGATCTCAGGCTGCTGTAGCAAAATACCATAGATTAGTGGCTTAAACATCGGGAATTTTTATCTCACAGTTCTAGAGGCTGGGACGTTTGAGATCACAATGCCAGCATGGCTGTAGGACACAACATTCAGTCCATGATGGCACTGTAAAAGAAGACAGGGAACCTGATGATGTCTTTACCACAGAATGTTGCATTTCCTTTTCCATTGCCTTAATAAGCTTATTTTCTCTCATCTAGGAAGATTTGGGGATTTAATCAACAGCTCCACCATCCCTTTCTCAATCCCAAAACAAAAGTTACTGTGTCTTTACATACAGTATACATACATTGTGTACATTAAAAGCTTTAGTTCAGGGGCGCCCGGCTCAGTCGTCTGCCTTTGGCTGAGGTCATGATCCCAGGGTCCTGGGACTGGGCCTCACCTTGGGCTCTGTGCTCAGAAGGGAGCCACCTTCTCTCTTTCACTCTCCCTCTGTGCTCTTTCAAATAAATTAATAAAATCTCTTTTTAAAAAAGCTTTAACTCATTACTGGCATTATCTTTTGTCATCTTGCATACAACTTACTCAGCTTAGAGACATTTTTAAGGCATAATTTACCTCAAGCATGTAACATGTAATTTGAAAATATAACACCCCTCCCTAAAAAAAAAAGAAGAAGAAAGAAAGAAAGATGAAGGAATGTGTATTAAATTTTTATTAAGCATAATGATTATTCTTTTAGGGCATTGCTAAACTTTTTGTTTGAATGAATAAAAACAAATTGAGAAATTTCACATGACACACTAATCTAGTGATCTCAACATACTTCATGGAAATTTCTACTGGCTGTTTTTGGGTGTTGCTTTCCCAATTTCCTTTCGTCTTTGCTCTGTTTCTCAGAGTGAATCGAAACTTGTCTTTGAAAAGACTTCTTCTTTTGACTTGTCTTTTATGTAGAGAACTTTTTGATCTTACCAGAATAAGTAGGATTAATGTTCAATCTCAAGTATTTCTGAGGGTATACTCCTTACCCACAGAAATATACACTTGGGGCAAAATCAGAAGAGGCTTCTCATTCTCCCAGTCACTGGACAGGAAGAGAATTAACCCACAATGGAGCAAGAAGAACCTCAAAATAAACGTGAGTACATTCTCTCCTCTCAGTTTTAAAGAAGCAAATGTAATTATGACTAAGATTTAAAAATATAAATTAATGGTAGTTATAGTTCTGAAGATTGAAGATGATGATGAGGAGGAGTTAGAGGAAATGACAATGACTTTGGTGAGGAGAAAGGTCATAGATAAACTCAAGTATGTTGGGTAAGAGAAACTTCTTTGTGAAACATACATTGGGCCAAGACAAGAGATAAATTATGCAAAAGAAAAATAAGATGGAAAGAAAGAGAGCAATTTGGGAAGATTCTTTTAAAGGTAAGAGGAGGAAGGAAGATAGACAAAACACAGCAACTAAGGTTCACAGTTTACCTGAGGCTCTGACTTTATCCCATTTTATGCTGTACTTAAGGGTCACAATGTATTTGTATTATAAGAATATTAAACAATATTTTTGAGAAATAGAACAAATATTATTATTTCTATGAAAGGATATTCATTGCAGTAATTTTAGAAACAGAAAAAACACCAGAAACCAATACTTGCTTGTATATTACTAATAGTACAGATTCTAAATGATGGTGAATCTCTGTGATGGAATTTTGCAGTGATTCAAATAATCCTATATATTAGTAGGTGTTGACAGAAAAAGGTCTCCAAGACATATTGTTACATAAAAAGCTGTGTTTCAGGACCAAGGTACACTGTGGTCCCATTGAAATTTGCCATGGTAGAGTGATGAGGTGAAGTAAAACATTAATTTTAATTATTTTAATTTTAATTATTAATTTTAAAATTATATATTTCTACAAGTACTGCAATGACTATCCTTTCATAGAAATAAATTCAATTTTTCTACATGATAGAGCTCTAGAATTGATATTGTTGTGGTAAATATGATGCACTGAGAAGTTGATAAGTGTTGCTAACTTGGTCTGTCTAAAAGCTTTCTAATTTATAGTTTAGCATAAAATATATGCTAACACCAAGAGAGTTTATTTTTCCTCAGTCTTGCTGATACTATATATTTTCTATTTTCTTTTAAAAATCTCATATGTGAAAAATTATACCATAATATTTTAGTTTGCATTTCTTTGAGCATACTTTTCTGTTTAATGATCATTCATAATTTCAGCAAACTAAATTTTCAGCAAATTTCCTGGTCAAACTTTTGCTCAGTTTTTAATTTGCTTTTTGAAATTCTCTGTACAGTCTAGACATTAATATTGTGACAAAATTTTCTTTCATATGTCCCTTGTGTTTTAACATTATTTGTGTCATATAGAAGTTTTAATCTTTATGGAGTGAAATTATCAATTTTTTTATGATCTTTGAGTTTTCTGTCTTATAAAAAGCCTTTCCATTAAAAAAAGGTTATATTTTTATGTATGTATGTATGTATGTATGTATGTTTTTATCAGTAAATTCTAAAACTGATTTATTCAGGAGGAAATCTTTAAGCTCTCCTCTAGATCTAAAATATTGTGGATGAGCTCATATTTAGCTTGCTTCTCAGTAGAATATCTTCCCCAGTTCTTGTGGCAGAGAAGACGATGTATTTATCTTTCCTTTTGCCCTAGTCAGAGGCCAGCATTCCCAGATGATCCCTTGGGCCATTGCTGTTTTTTACATCTCAGTTCTCAGTGCTTGTCTTATTGCAAACTGTTTGGGTAAGTTATTAGCAGAAATGGAACTCTGTGAATTTCCCCAAACAACATTCATGAAGTTCCTCTAAGTCTTTTGTTATTTTGATTCCCCGTCCCAACATTTCAATCCATACTGCTTTTCAGGGTCTTGAATTTAAAATTCAGAGCTACATTTTTCACTTTTTGTCCTTTGATGGTGCTGTCTTATGTCAGGGAATGAATGATGGAAGTTAAACACTTTCCTAGACCTATGAAGGTTGGTGGCTGAAGTAAATCATTCCCCAGTTTTGACTGAGATTATAAGGGGCTGTATCTTATCAGTAAAGAATAACCAGCAAAAAAACAACTTTCAGATAGACTGTACTCTGGCTTTGAAAAGAACAGTTGAAAGATTTGTTCTTTCTGGTAGCAAGACCTTGTATAAAATTATTATAATTACAATAATATAGTATAGGTGCAAGTACAGACAAATAGACCAGAGGAAAGGAATAGAGAGCTTAGTTACAGATCTTGCATATATGAACTGTTTATATAAAACAGAAGGGGATACTGCAGGTATAGGGAAAGGACAATTTTGTTCAATCAAGACCATTGATTATCCTCATTCAAAAAATGAAATCTGTCCCCTGTATATCATGTATAAAACCAACCTGACATGAATTATTGGCCAAATGTGAAAAGCAAATCAATAATGCTTTTTAGAAGATAAATGGAGAATATATTCATATCCTCAAGTCAGGGAATGATTTCTTAAGTCATAAAATGTGCTAGCCAGTGAGGAAAATATTGACCAATTATACTACATTAAAGTAAGAATTAGTGTACAACAAAAATACCAAGAAACAAAGCAGCCATAGAAGGTGTTTGTAATGCATATAATTGATAAAAAATTAATGTACAGTATATATAAACAATTCTTTCAAAACAATAGGAGAAAGTCCTGACAATACAGCAGAAAAATAGGCAAAATTTTGAATAGGCACTATAGAAAAGAAAAATTGAAAAGTTTAATGAACACATAAAAAATGTCAAGCTCATTAGTTTTCAGGGAAATGAAAATTCAACTCACAAAATGAGATACCATTGCAAACATACCAGGATGGCAATAATTAAAAATTCTAGTGCTATTAAGTATTGATGATGATGTGGAGCAACTGAAACTCCCATGAACTGCTGCTTATGGGAGCATAGAGCAGTACAACCACTTTGGAAAACTTTGCTACTATCATAGTTGGCAATATGCATATTCTATTACCAGCAATTCCACTCCGAGGCATATAGCCTACAGAAATGTATGCTCATGTGCTCTAGGATGCATGGTCAAAAATGCTCAGAATGGTATCATTCATAATAGTCAAACACTGGAAGCAAAGCAAATGTCTACCAGAAGAAGGCTATACGTTTTAGTGCATTAAGACAGTAGATCACATTATAGTAATAAAAATAAATGGATTATGGTTGTATGTAACAATAAAAATAAATTTCAGAAATAACACCGAGCAAAAGACGGAACTAAAAGAATGCATATTTTATCATTTTTTTTATATGATGTTCAAAAGCAGGCAAATCTGATCTGTAGGGTTTAGGGATATGTTATCAAGGGGTAAAATTTGAAGCAAAGCACAAAATGATTGGTTTAAAAGCCATGGTATAGCTATCTTTAAGAAAGAGGAAGTGGGTTGTATTTGGGATGTGAAGGCCACCTGAGGTATTGGCAATGTTATGTTTCTTAAGCCAGATTGTTGTTACCTGGAGTGTTCACTTTATAATAATTTGATGAACTGTACATTTGTGTTTTTCACTTCTTTGCACTTGATTATGTTTCAAAGTAAAAATATTTATTTATTTATTTATTATTTATTTTGGGAAGAGAGAAAGGGAGAGCGAGTGTGTGAATGGGATGGGCAAGGGGCGGTGGGAGAGAGAGAGAGAGAGAGAGAGAGAGAATATCTTAGGCTCCATGCACAGCACAGAGCCCAATGTGGGGTTTGATTTCACAACCCTGAGACTATGATCTGAGCCAAAATCAAGAGTTAGATGCTCAACCAACTGAGCCACCCAGGTTTCCCTCAAAGTAAAAATATTTAAAGATAAGGGAATATATCTGGCTGATAATACTTGGCAGACCTATCACAACATTCTCTAAAAATCCCCACTCTAAAACAGATTCTGATAGAAAAATATGCTTAAAAGCATATACACGTAAAGGTTTGCGGGACTACTCCCATAAACCACAAAATGGATAATATGATAATAAAATATTAAATTTTGACAATTATTTTCAACCTATTCACCTGGGACTGGAACAGAGGAACTGGGTAATAAGAATAAGGGTTAGTTACCTTAACTCTTAGGAGAAGAGAGGGACCAGAGTGACCAGCTCCCATTTCCCTAAGTAAGTGATTATATAGGAAAAGAAAACTAACTCTTTTCCCCTTTGACAGTAACTCATCACAACATTCTACGCTGCAGGAGAGAAGCAAGAGTGTTCAAGTTACCAGAGTACCACATGAAGCTGACATGCACCAGAGAGAAGTCAAAATTGAAAGGTAGATAGAAAAGAGCATAGGAGAATTTCTTTCTTACTTCCATTTCCTTTTTGAAAATTAACATTTCATTTTATTTTATTTTTTCAGTGTTCCAAGATTCATTGTTTATGCACCACACCCCGTGCTCCATGCAATATGGGCCCTCCTTAATATCCACAAACGGGCTCACCTAACCCCCTACCCCCTTCCCCTCTAAAACCCTCAGTTTGTTTCTCAGAGTCCACAGTTTCTCATGGTTCATCTCCCCCTCTGATTTTCCCAATTCACTTATCCTTTCCTTCTCCTAATCTCCTCCATGTTATTCCTTATGCTCCACAAGTAAATAAAACCATATGATAATTGACTCTCTCTGCTTGACTTAGTTCACTCAGCATAATCTCTTCCAGTCCCATCCATGTTAATACAAAAGTTGGGTAGTCATCCTTTCTGATGCAGGCATAATATTCCATTGTATATATGGACCATATCTTCTTTATCCATTCATCTGTTGAAGAGCATTTTGGCTCTTTCCACGGTTTGGCGATTGTGGCAATTGCTGCTATGAACATGGGGGTACAGATGGCCCTTCTTTTCACTACATCTGTATCTTTGGGGAAAATACCCCGTAGTGCAATTTCAGGGTCATAAAGTTGCTATTTTTAATTTCTTAAGGAATCTCCACACGTTTTCCAAAGTGACTGCACCAACTTGCATTCCCACCAACAGTGTAAGAGGGTTCCCCTTTCTCCACATCCTCTCCAACACATGTTGTTTCCTGTCTTGTTAATTTTGGCCATTCTAACTGTGTAAGGTGGTATTTCAATGTGGTCTTGATTTGAATTTCCCTGGTGGCTAATGATGATGAACATTTTTTTCATGTGTCTTTGGAGAAGTGTCTGTTCATGTCTTCTGCCCATTTTTTGACGTGATTATCTATTTTTTGAGTGTTGAGTTTGAGGAGTTCTTTATAGACCTTGGATATTAGCCCTTTGTCTGTAGTGTCATTTGCAAATATATTCTCCCATTCCATGGGTTGCCTCTTTGTTTTTTGTTTTTTTTTTAAAGAATTTATTTATTTGACAGAGAGAGAGATCACAAGTAGAGAGAGAGAGAGAGAGAGAGAGGAGGAGGAAGGCTCCCTGCCTAGCAGAGAGCCCGATGTGGGACTTGATCCCAGAACCCCGAGATCAGGACCTGAGCTGAAGGCAGAAGCTTAACCCACTGAGCCACCCAGGAAGCCCTGCCTCTTTGTTTTGTCTTACTTCCATTTCCATTCAGATTCAGAGTCCAATTTAAAGTAATCAGTAGTAAATGAGGAGAGATTAGAACAATAGGAGTATCTGGTACAAGAGTAAACATCGATAAATAGAAATAGATTTCTCATGACTGTAATTAGTTGAATAACTGGAGAATATAACAACACATTTAGGATCCATTTTTGGCATCCAAAACATAACATTAGTTTAATTCCATTTTCTTTTGATTCAGGCATATCTTAAGGACTTCCCTCCTAGAATATACAGCTTTTCCAAAGTGACTTTGTCTCTTATATTTTGCTGGAATCTGTAAAATCCCCCATCCTTTGGGAGATGGGCAAATGCTTGAGAGTTCTAATAGGTTCTCTACCCTCTTTAGATAAAATTACCTGCAAAAGGCTTTGTTCTAGAAGCACTTCAAAAATAGAAGTAAATACATGGACATTGAAAAATGATGTTGTCTTCTAAGAGAATATCTTATGATTTCCATATAAGTCACTATGTGATTCAGATACTTTTGCTCAGAAATATTTAGAAATGCAATTTTCAGGATTTTTTAAAAAGGGGAAAAATGATATTGGTAATCTTGGTATTATTTCCAAAAAATATTAACTGGATAGTTAGCAGAATAACTATGCAATCTCTTAGAGATAAAATGCTCCTTTGCAACTGATTTTCATTTCAATTTTCTCATGAGGGACCACCTGGAATTGCTGTCCTTTTGGCTGGAGAGCATTCCAGTCCAACTGCTATTTTCCTCTTAATGACAACAAGACATGGGTTAAGAGCGAAAGGAACTGCATGAGGATGGGGGCTCATCTGGCCACCATCAGCACAGAAGCTGAGCTGGTATGTTGGAAGGCTCAAATCCATCTCTCTGCTCTTTGAATCTCTTTGCAGAGAAAGAGGAATTTCTCTGTTCTGCCTCTACGCCTTTGCTTCATCTGTTTTATCTTCCTTGCTCATTTATCTTCATCTGGCCAACTTTTGGTCTTTCCAGATTTGATTCACATGTTATTTCCTCTAGAAAACTACCCTGACCACCTTCCCTATGCCATCCTCCCTGTTCTAATTTGGAGAGATACCTGTGGAACTTTGTGCACTGTGTGGTCATGACACTTACACTGTACTGAGGTTATCTGTTCACTGCTCCCTGTCTGCCAATGACTCTCCTTTGCAGAGGTCTGTGGCTGTGCTCTCCTAATCTTTGCATCTCCAAAGTCCTGCACAGTGCTAGGGACACTGGATAGGTCTTGATAAATGTTTGGTGAGTAAGTGAATAAATGAATGGTTAAGCAGGACTGAAATAGCTTCTCAGGAGAAATCATAAGAAATACAATTCAGTCTCATGGTTGTAACTCTAAGTAAAAAAAATTCTTAAGTTTAATTCAGTTCTTTAAAGGACTTTAAAGAACTTCTTTTTTTTAATTTTTAATTTTTTTTAAAGCACTTTTTTTTTTAAAGACTTTATTTATTTATTTATTTATTTATTTGACAGACAGGGATCACAAGTAGGCAGAGAGGCAGGCAGAGAGAGGGAGAAGCAGGCTTCCCGCTGAGCAGAGAGCCCGATTGTGGGGCTTGATCCCAGGACCCAGGGATCATGACCTGATCTGAAGGCAGAGGCTTTAACCCACTGAGCCACCCAGGCGCCCCTTTTTAAAGCACTTCTTAAAACACAATTTCCTCTTGTAATATACTTCCATATATATATATATATATATATATATATATATATACATATACACACACACACACACACACACACACTATATGCATATATATAGTATATATGTAACTCATATTCTACTCTTTTCTTAGGGAGGTTTCCCAGAGGATTCTGTCCTCATGGCTTTGCAATCTATAGGTTCACCAACTCTTTGAATAAAATGGAACTTAATTTAATACACACATGCATAAAAGGCAATTTTAAAAATGAAAGTTTTAAAAAATGTGATCCTATTAAACATTGTGCTAAGTGATTTGCAAGCGTGATCTCACTTACTCATCACAGTAACTCTGTGCAGTAGTAGAGTGGTCCTTTTGGAGATCAGAAAACTTGGGTTTGGTGAGATTAGAGCACTTACTACATTACACAATAAATGGCAGAGGCAGGATTTGAAAGCACATCTGTCTGATGACACTGCTTTTGTGCTTAGCTAATAATCTATCTGACCATTTCTCTCTTTTCCTAACATAATAGCTTTTCCTAACATAACATAATATTATGTTAGCTATTATGTTACCTAACATAATAGCTATCAAATGATAATTGCAAATATACTTATTAAAATTACAATTTTTATAAAATTTTTATGTAATTATACAAAATTCATATTTTTATGCAGAACTTTATTACTCAATTTTTGGAGAGACGATTTTCATATTTCCTGGGACTTATAGATGAGAATCATGGAGGCCGATCCTTGGTGAACAAGACAGCATTTAACCCACATAATTTGTGAGTATGTTGACTGGCGTGTAAGAGCTTTATAGGCAAAGCTGGGAAGATAGCAAGCAGAATTCATTTGGGCTGCAGTATACTGATGTAGGAATGATTACTCAGAATAGAGCACTATGTGTTGAGTAACCCCATACTAATATACTATGGTACTTCTATTAGTGCACTCCGTATTTTTCACCAAAGACATTTTCCCTGCATGTCTCCTGACCTACACATACACACACACTCACACACACATATAAATATAAATATAAATATAAATATAAATATAAATATATATATTTTTTTCTTTCATTTCAGATTATGGCATGAGGGTAAAGCCAAAAATCAGGAAGAAAATTGTATTGTCCTTGTTAATGTCCAAGACAAATGGACATGGAATGATTCTCCTTGTAACTTTGAGACAAAAAGTATTTGTAAATTACCTGGAACAGCATTCAACTAGAAACATCCAAAGAAGTCCTTGTGATGGGGACAGAAAAGAAGAACCAATTAGACTAGGGAAGAATGTACCTGCACCATTGGAACAGAGAAAACCTGCTGAGAAAATAGAAAAATTTTAGTTATGATGGCCTTATTTATTTTTGTTCTATTTATTCAAGATACTATGTTTTTGTGTGGTATGGTGGCAGGAGTCATCTTTTCTGAGAATCCATTTTCATTAACGTTGCTTTCTTGATAGTATATCAGAGTATTTCCTTTTCAGTTGGTGTGAATTGATGACATATCAACCAGAATGGCTCAGATGATGCCATCTCTTAGTCACTGCTTTCCTCTGCTCAGATTTTTACAATGTGGGGTATTCCAACTGGTAGTGGTATGCCATTATTTTGGCCCCAGTTATGATAAACTCTTTAATTTTTTTTAAGATGTATGTATTTATTTGAGAGAGAGAGAGAATCTCAAGCAGATTCCCCACCAAGCACAGAGCCTGATGTGGGGCCCAACATGGGGTTCAATCTCACAACCCTGAGATCATGACCTAAGCTGAAATCAAGAGTCAGTTGCTCAACTGACTGAGCCACCCAGGTGCTCCCTAATCTATTTCTTGCAGTCTGATTATTTTTCAGTACCTCTTTGGTGACCACCACAGACCACCTTTCTTACCTGGATTATTGCAATAGCCTTCTGAATGGTCCCCCTGTTTCTCCCCTCAGCCCCTTTCAGTCTGTCCCCACCTCCCATGGCACTTCTATTCTTCAAAATTTCTTTAAGACAGCTGATAGTAATTTCATAAAAATAACTGCAAAATTTATTAGGACACTGTGGTAGTCCTAGAAGTTTGAAACACTTAAAAAAATTAAACACTGCGGGGGGTGGGAGGTTGGGGGAGTCAGGGGGTGGGTATTAAGGAGGGCACGTATTGCATGGAGCACTGGGTGTGGTGCAAAAACAATGAATTCTGTTATGCTGAAAAGAAATTTAAAAAAATTAAAAAAAATTTAAACACTGGTTTTGTCTTTGAAAAAGTATGATATGTATATGTTAAAAAGGCAAACCAGAAAATTATAAATGAAAATATGAGTTAAATCTTCCACCCTGAACTCCAGTCCCTTAAATGCCTCTTCAGAGAAACTATGATCGTCAGTTTCTTATACATATTTCTGTATATGTTTAAATACATGTTATATAAATGTATATACATATACAACCCATTTTTTTCTAACACTAGTGGAAACATTATCTATAGCATCTTAAATGTCTTGCAATTTTTTTTCTCCCATGAATCTCAGGGGTTTTGTCTGTTTGTTTTTCATCATGATCAGGGTATTCTTTGATCCCCATCTCTTCTTTCCCCCTTTCCCTACCACCTCTCCTCTGGTAACCACCAGTTTGTTCTCTATAATTAAAAGTCTGTTTCTTGGTTTGTCTCTCTCTTTTTTTTCCCTTGCTTATTTGTTTTGTTTCTTAAATTCCACATATGTGAAATAATGTGGTATTTGTCTTTCTCTATTTCATTTAGCATATAACACTCTTGTGCAAATGGCAAGATTTCACCCGAGTAATATTCTGTTGAGTGTGTGTGTATGTATGTGTGTGTGTGTGTGTGTGTGTGTGTGTGTGTATATATATATATATACACACTATAATGTTGTGTGTGTATAATTCTGTTGTGTGTGATGTGTATATCACTCTTCTTTATCTATTCATCAATTGATGGACATTTGGACTGCTTCCATAGTTAGGCTACTATAGATAATGCTGCAATAAACATAGGGGTGCATGTATCCCTCTGAATTAATGTTTTTATATTCTTTGGGTAAACACCCAGTAGTGTGATAGTATGGCAGTTCTATTTTTATTTTTTTGAGGAACATCCATACTGTTTTCCACAGTGGCTGCACCAACTTGCATTCTCACCAACAATCTTCTTCACATCCTTGCCAACACTTGTTGTTTTTTGTGTTTTTGATTTTAGCCATTCTGACTGGTGTGGGGTGATATCTCATTGTGGTTTTGATTTGTTTTCCCCTGATGATGAATGATGTTGAGCATCTTTCATAGACCCATGAAAAGATTTTGTCTTCTTTGGAGTAATGTCTGTTCATGTCTTTTGCTTATTTTTTAATTGGATTATTTGTGTTTTTGGGTAATCATCTTGCATTTTTTACTTAAAAATATGGTTTGGGAAATGTTTTATACCTTGTTCCAAATAACTAAATAGTGTTTCATTATATTGGTATATCATAATCTGAAATAACCTTTAAGTGATAAAATATTTCCTTTGTCTAATAAAAATCAACAAAATAATGGCTATGAAAGAAACCATAAGAACAATCCCAGTTCAGATCAGAAAAGGAAGACAGTTCCAAGAGGATTTCTTTTCCTCTTAAAAATATGGGACTGATAGAATGTATTTGAATGCATTGAGAGATGATGTACAATTCTGCGTAGTTAAGGGATGCATTATTAATCAGTACATAGAAAACTAGGTATATAAAAAATGCTGCCAATATTAGCTGTACAAAAAGCAAAATGTATTTAAGAAAGTATGTAAGATAATACATAATCATGATACAGTACAAGATTCAGCTGTGATAACATTTACATATTCATGATAACATATGAGTAAAAATTTTTGATAATGAGTGTGTATTATTTTCACCAAATGTATTAGAATGATTTTTCTTTAAAATATTTAGAGGCCCACATGGTAATATTTACATCTTAACAGTGATTTACTTTGGGAATATGGTCTTGGGACTACAGATGATTGCTTACTCTTTTATTTTTTTTGAAATTTCTGGCTTTTCTGGTGCCTGAATATTTTTGTAGGCCCTATTGTAAAAATATATTTTTAAATAGAATCAACCAGATGATGTACCACTCAGAATTTTCCATATAAATAACTTGGTTTCTGTTGATCTTTAACCAGTAAACCCTGAGTGATTGTTTCTTTTCTTGCCAAACTTTGAAGACAAAGTTAATTGCATAACAAATTATAAATATATGGTGAATAAAGTATACTAATACTTTCATATATCTTTCAATATTGAAATAAAATTTAAAGATTTTATTTATTTATTTATTTGACAGAGAGAAAGAGATTACAAGTAGGCAGAGAGGCAGGCAGAGGGAAAGGGGGAAGCCAGCACCCCGCTGAGCAGAGAGCCCAATGCGGGGCTCGATCCCAGGACCCTGAGATCATGACCCGAGCCAAAGACAGAGGCCTAACACACTAAGCCACCCAGGTGTCCCTGAAATAAAATTTAAAATAACAAATTATAGCCAACCACAAAGAAACAATGGTGAATAAAAGTATTTCCATATGTCTTTCATTGATGTTTATAATTTGAAAAAAGGAAACTAGAAAGTAGAAAATATATGTACTGTATTATTTTTAGGTCAAATGACTTTAGATTTAAAGGCATATTGGTTTTAAAACCACACGTGGTCCCTTATACCTAAGAAGAATAAACATTTTTAAGGAAAGATAATATATTATATTCACTTACATAGTTGAATTTTCCCATTTCATGATTACACATTCATTCCAATGTATGAATTTTGAGGGTCTTTTTATGGTGCTGTGTGCAAGAAACATGGTTATTAAAGGTACTGTTATTTAAATATTCTTGAATAACCTTATCAGTACTGAAAAAAATATGCTAGTAGTGGATAGGAAATTATCGAGCTGAATGTTCTCTTCAAACAATTTCACTGTTGGACCCTAGCTGAGCAAGAGCCACAAACTGAGGTGAGATTCAGTTATTCGGTGGAAGAGAAGAAAGAGAAAAGGGAGTTCTTGGGATAAATGGACTGAATCATAGTCTGTCTGGAGCCGAAGCTCAGCATGGATTTTTCCTAGCGAGGCATTTCCTAGTCAAGGCCATTACCTGGGAAGTCCACATGTCTTTGAAGCAGGGATAAGCTTCACGACTTGAGGGAGTTTCTTACTCGTTGTACAGGAGAACATAGTGGAGATACTTGCTCGGGCAGAGGTAAAAATGGTATGCAATTGAGAAGAGAATGTAGACTTTTCCGGAGCCAGAAAGAAGAATTGACCAGAGCCTGAATTCAGGGGCTTCAAAGTCACTTTGAAAATCCTCTTCTTGCTGAGCTCTGTTCTTGCTCTGTGTCCCTGTATTTTTCCATCAGTCTTCACGAATGAAGCAAATGTGCCCAAAGGAGCATACTTTTCTTTTCCTGACATTTGTTCTAGAATTTCTTGGTAAGTTTCGAGAAGTCCTGAGACTAACATGCAGAAACATGCATGTCAATTAGCATCACAAATTATAACATTCAAAACGACTCATTTTTATTGGTAGCAAAAGCAATGAAGTCCTCCCGATGTCCCTAAGGAGTCCTCATTAATGCCGCACACACTTCTCTCCAGTTGGAGCTATGTTCATGCTCTTGTGCCTCCATATTTATGCATTTTAGTTGCGCTTTCTGCTCTTAGAGAATTTTTCTGTTGCTTTAGACATTTATTTCTGGCATTTCACAAATCCAAAAAATACTGAAGAAACAGGGCACATCATTCCAATTTTTCCTGGGATTTGAAGAGTCTCGGATGGTGGCACAGTCCTCCACTGTCACTAAATTATTGGGCTCCCCGACATCCCAGAAGCTGAACAAGAATAATCATGCAGGAGATTTAAAATCCCAGCTACAAGAAGCCAAGTGACCTACATGCTAGGCAAATGACACTTGTGTTGTATCACTTCACAACACTTTTGTTAAGCATTGTAATCTCCATTTTATTTTTTAATTTAAAAAATATTTTATTTATTTATTGGACAGAGATAGAGAAAGTGCACAAGCCGGGGGAGAGACAGAGGGAGAGGGAGAAGCAGACCTGACCCCAGGACCCCAAGATCATGACCAGAGCCGAAGGCAGACACTTAACCAACTGAGCCACCCAGGTGTCCCTATAATCTCCATTTTGTTGATAAGGAAAATGAATCCCAGGAAAGCTAAACCATTTGTCTAAGTCATAGAGTTTATGAGGAATGAAGCTGAACTGCATATTCCTGATTTTCTATTCTGTCATGCTCCCTCATGGTTGTCGACCCATAACGAGTGGCTATTGATATTCTGGTGGATGTGTTTCCTTCGAAGCTCTGATATTCTCATGGATTTGTTTCCTTCACACTCATATCTCATCTTACCTTTGGTTCCCTTTATTCCATACTGAGTCTGTATTCACGTAGGTACATACTTCAGTGGTGTTATTGTGCTGTAGTGAAGCGACTTTCTCAAGTCTCAGGGCATCTGGGCTGTACTCTTAGAACGGACCTTAACCTTCCTGACCTTTAGTTTCCTCAAATGCTAAGTAAAGATTAATGATACCCATGTATACCAGAAAGGTGTAATTTAGGTAAAATGAAATAATGAATGAGAGAAAAACTTTGAAAACTCCGAAGTGCTGTGCAGTAACAAAGTAAGGTCATTATTAAGGAGAAAGGGACATTAACAAGGGGGTTCCATCTCTCACTCCATAACTCCACTTTCTCAAATCATTATTTTTGTCTTATTTACTAGTTTGGGGCATAAGACTCTGAATTTCACTCTGTCTCTGCTGCATTTCCAATGAATTAGTCTTTAATTCTAACCCTCTCTTTTTCATCTGTTATTTCCCTCGTATTCAGATAGTCTCAGGAAATGGGGGCACTAGATCCTCATGCTTCCTTTGTCTATCTTCTTGCAAATCGTATTATGAAGGGTTGACCCGAAGATATCTTGTGGAACAGGAGGAGGTTCTGCGAATTCCCTGCAGCAATGGTCTAACTTTGATTTGACACAGTGTTAAAATTCTCCTGCAAGAAGGAAATTACCTGAGAGATTCTGAGAAAGGTGTTCCATCTACCCATTGCCACTGACCCTCGTTCACCTGGTCTGTCAGTCCAATATAGAACTCTCTCCTTTTAGGTTTCGTAAAGAAAAGGAATTCCTATGGAAGCAACACAATAAAAAAATAGATCAATTATTTCAATTTTGAACAAATGTTGAAGGCAATTTTTCTTAAGAGAAATAAAGTAGGACAAAGACTGCAGATGATAAGTGGCTCTGAAATTGTAAGATCATGGAGGATTATCTCCTGATTCTTTTTATTGTGGTAAAAATATGCATACCATAGAATCAAATCTTTAACAGAGAAGGAGGTTCTCAATAACTAATTCCAAGTTTATCTACTGTTATTTGTAGCAAAATCTACTGTATATATCCAGCATGAAACATTATTAATCACAGTGTAAGGATAGTGGCCATACCTTTGACATATCTGACATAATCATATGGTATGCTCATCAATGTAATGGCCATTCTAAAATGAACTCCCAGCCCTTTTCTTCCCCCATCTTCCTAATAAAGAAACAGAACATAGAAATCCCTTCGTTTTAGGCTCTTCTTATGATGAAAATTGAATAAGTATCGACTTACAGAAATAGTAGAAATGGCATGCATTTCAATACATTCATTTAACAAATAGTAGCTGTGGCCCAAACACTATGCACGTATGGAGAAAGGGATAGATGCTGAGAAGAAGGTCGCACGGACATTGGAGGAGGCTGCACTCCAACTACCTGTTCCTCCCGTGTGTTGATAACAACAAGATGAGCTCCCATGTCGGAGCAGTTTTTTAAACTCGATGCCCAGGACATGGTGTTAGTAGAAAAGAAGTAGCAGCTAGATTGAAAATGTACCCAGTTCGATGGACAGCAATTCTTGACTGAACCTAGGAGAAGAGAAGTTTCCATGAGTGCTTTAGCCCGGAGGAGCGTCATATAGCATTTTGTTAAGACTTGGAATAAGACTGTATATGTAATAGCATAGGGAGTAAATTTCTGAAGTATTTGCAAATTCCCTCATCTATATATATATTTTTCTTCTTCAACCCCATTTGGAAGCAAGTGAGGAAAAGAAAATGCATTCCTGGAGACAAAATCTTCCTCTTCTAGGTTCTGTTGAGACATACCTCAGATTTATTCTAAAAGTTTTCTATAACGTCCCCAAGATTTCCTGTCCCCATGCTAATTGCATTTCCGAAGTTCTAGAACTGTCTTCTTACCAATTCCTCAGCATTCTCATATAGTACAGGCAAGATTTTACATTTTGTTTTTGAAAAACAGAACATCATCTAACCACTTTACTTGTCCCCAAATCAATCTAGAAGCCAAAAAAAAAAAAAAGTGTCGATATAGGGGCCCCTGGGTGGTTCAGTCAATTAGCGTCTGCCTTTGGCTCAGGTCATGAGCCCAGGTCCCCGGATTGAGCCCCCCCATCAGGCTCTCTGCTCAGTGGTGAGTCTATTTCTCCTTCTGCCCCTCCCTGACGTTCATGCTTGCACTCGCTGTCTCTCTCTGAAATAAATGAATAAAATCTTTAAAAAAAAGTGATGATGAAAGAGATGAAAAATGTCTATCATGAAAAATATATAAATGTTGATGTTCAAGTTTGAGGACTATTATACCCAATCCATCCCTGGAGCAGGAGAAGTCCATGAATGCCTCATGTAGCTGGAACTTATTCTCATCACAGAGTTGAAGGACACGATATGTCACTGTAAGGAAAGGTGCAGAGTTAATCTTCATTAATCTTGAAAAAAATAAATGTTATCATTTTTGTATTTATAATGAAAGTACCAATAATCATCATGGTTTCTTTTTCTTTTCTTTTTTCTTTTTTCCTATTTGTCCTTCTATACAGAGAGACAAGATTTACCTACTCAAAGAAAGAAGAGGGAATTCACATTTCACGATTTTCCTGATTTATGAAGGTGAATGTATTTTATCTCAGGTCCAAAGGCCCAGAGAAAACAAATGAATCTTTACTCTCTCTATGCCAACCCTCCCTACCCTTCTTCCTAAAAGCGATTTTGTCATGCTTCTGGTTAGGATCCCATAGAGAAGTTTACCCTAATGATATGAATGCAAAGGGAAGGACACAGGCTGTCAAGGAGATGAAAAATGTCTATCATGAAAAATGTGCCAGAAGTCACTGAAATTTGGTAACTATTCTGTTCTAGTTGGGGTTCTAGTTGAGCAATAACCTGGAGATAAATAGGGAAGAAAGTGGAACAGAAATACCTTTTGAGGGGGAGGAGAACCCAAAGGCAACAAGAAAGATTTTACCCCTAATATTCACCAGGGAGATTAAACTTGACCTTTCGAACTCACCAACACATCTGGTGATAAAACAGGCGCTGAGCAGTAGCATGGAGACCCCAGCAACAGTCCATAAGAGAACTTGGGAAGACAAGCATCTTTTCTCTGTAGAAAGAAATACGCAAACATAGTCAATCTTCCCTAGCAGGTTACAAAAGAGATTCTTACCCAACCACTTAGTTCCTTCCACTAGCACTGTTCTATATGGAGTAAGTTTCAAACTTCCAGCATCAGAATCATCTGGAAGGTGTGTTGAAACACAGATGAAGGCACTTCGCCTCTAGAGTTAATGTTTCATGAGACCTGGTACTGAGCCAGCAAGTTCCCAGAACCATCTTTCAGAACCACTAGATTCGCTAATCTTAAGATTCGTGAACTGAGATGGGCAATTTTTCCTTCCTAAGTTTGCCAGATTTTTTCCCCTTCTTTTCCTATTTTTCTCTTTCCCATTTCTCCCTCTTACCCTCTCTGTTTTTCTTGTCTCTCGTCTGCTCTCCTCTTTTCGGTGTCTTATTTCCCAAGCTCTCTGTCAATCAGATCAGATAAAACGCGGGCCAACCTCTAGTAGCTCCTCTCCCCCTCCCTCCAGATACACATTTTACAGACAGGGAAAGTGGGTTCTAGAGAAGTGAGGTGACTTGCCCAACACGACACAGGGAAAGGGTGGGCAGAGCGGTCTGATTCAGCTCTCCCTGGAATCCAGCCCAGCCAACCTCTGTACAACATACCGTCCCTAACCACTGCCTCCCTCATCTTCCTCTCTTGCATTCTGTCTCTGTCTCCCTTCTTTTGTTCTAGTGGAGACTTTTCTGTTGTCCCTTCCCTCAAAATATTTATCACCTCCTCCCAAAAGAAAGATCTATGAGAGAAAGGGAGAGTTGCAAATTTTACCTGTGCCTTGTGATGTAGATGGTTGGGATGAATTCATTCTCTCTCTCTCTTTCCCTCTCTCTTTCTCTCCTCTCGTCAGTTTCTGAATCCAGGAGTATTTTGTTGGTAAGACTCAAGAAAAATGATTCTTTTTCTGTTTTTTAGGAAGTGTGACCCTAAGACATCATAATATCAATGTGTTCTGTGGCTTTGTTTTAGTTAGGGTTTCCTTTCTTGCATAAGGACGACAAGGGACTTTACCGGGTGACACATCTGTCTCCTCAGTTTAGGAAACAACTAAATGGGGAAACGGTGAGGTGGTTAAGTATCAGCAGATTGGACTGAGCATGTGGACACATCAGGGGCTTAAAAATACAGTTTTATTTTGGTGGGTAAAATTTCTCTACTTTCTTCCAGGCATCACTCATCCTTTGGTCTGCCCTTGACATTTGTGGGGCCCTCCTCCGCACTTACAGTTTCCCTTTCGGTCCTTGCCACCGCACATTTATTAACTGGAAATGGGACAGACTCCAAGTCTTCACACTTGGCACAGAGCTGGGCATGTTGTATATGCATTTACAACTTGGCCGTGTGAATTCCTTTTCCTATTTTATGTTTTCTTTTTCCTACTTCTTTCGCTTGCATCTCTTGAAACTTCTGGATTTCTCTCATGCTGTGTATGTTGCATTGTGGGTTTATATCTCTTCTATCAAAGTGCTTACCCCTAGGTGATCTCACAAGTCCGCCCTAGTTGAATCGCCTCACGTGGTATGACTACTTTGAAATTCAGATCCATTCCCTATGTCAAAACACAGCTCTGGAGCCCTTGAGACTCAGCAGGTAGTTTCATTCTGTTTTTCCAAATTATTTGGGGATTTTTGTTTTATATTAGGGCCTGTATTAGGAGAAATAAACTTGAATGTCAGAAGAAGTAATTTTAATTAGACATGAAAATATAATGCTTCTCTGGAAGGTTAGTTAGATGTAGTAATGTTCCACTCCCTTCCTTAAAAATACTTAAGATCAAACTGGTCTCTATTGATTAAAATTCACAAGTGTCAGGAGGCATTAGTAAAATAAGTAAGTAAGTAAATAATTTATTTTTATATATAAAAAATCACCTGGTAATCCCCATGCCAATGAGTCATAGCCTTCACATCTTAGAAAATATCCTTGTTCTCAAAGGGACTTTTTATTGTTTCAATGTATTGCTCAATTTCCTCTGCATCCTCCATTTTATAGTTCTATGGATTTAATAAAGAAAACTTTAAAATTCTACATGTATATATTATAAAATGTATGCATATCTAACATGGGTCTTATCAGCAAATGGTTTTTGAATAGCAAAAAGAAATTATCTAGTGGCTGAGTTAAATGAATTATTTAATGATGAATCATGACTACAGTCAATTATTTATTATGATAAGTCAGTAATAACTAATATCAATAAACAATTCTACGTTAATAATTTTATGAATATTCAATTGACTAATATTAATAATCAACAAATTAATATGTTAATCAGTCAAAATACATATGTTTTTATCCTTTGTTTTATTACATTTCTAAATTATAAAAGTAGTATTTTTTTTAAGATTTTGTTTATTTATTTGACAGAGAGAAAGATCACAAGTATACAGAGCAGCAGGCAGAGGGAGAGGAGGAAGCGGGCTCCCTGCTGAGCAGAGAGTCCGATGCGGGACTCAATCCCAGGACCCTGAGATCATGACCCAAGCCAAAGGCAGAGACTTAACCCACTGAGGCATACAAAAAACTAGTATTTTTATGGTTAACAATATAAGAAGAATGTGACAAGTAAAAGACCTCCCGTCCATCCTAAGCACACTCTTCTAAAGTCAACCATACTTGGGGTGCTTGGGTGGCTCAGTCAGTTAAGCATCTGTCTTTTGCTCGGGTAATGATCCTAGAGTCGTAGGATCAAGTCCCGCATTAGGCTCCTTGCTCAGCAGGGATCCTGCTTCTCTCTCTGCCTCTCCCTATGCCTGCCACTCTGCCTGCTTAAGCTCGTGTGCACTGTCTCTCTCTCTCACTCAGAAAAATTAAAAAAAAAAAAAAGATTTAAAGTCAATCCTGTTTAATGATTTCTCGCATATACCTTGAGACATTCTCCAAGCTTATGTAAGTCATGTTTATATAACATATTGCTTATTCGTTTTTAGTTAAGTAAGATCATACCTGCAACACTTTTATGTCTTAAAAATTACTTTTATATTCATCAACATATTTGGGTATCTATCTTCTTAACTCTATTGTTTAAACTTTTCTGCAGTTTATAAAACAGGCACAGCTAATTTCTATTTTTTCCTTCCTCAACACATGAGGTAATGGCTACCTTTATACACATTAGCAGGTGCACACTTTTTGGCTCAAAGACACAAGCCAAATGTTAAAAATCATTATTTGGCTTGAGTTTTCATCATAGAACAACTTTCCAGGCTATAACCATAAATATAAAATTTTCTCTGAAGGCAATTTTCATTGCAATTAAATATCAAAAGCTTAGATAAATGCAACACAATGACGTTACATTTGGGAGCATGAATGTCTGCACAGAGCAGCTGGTACATGGCTCTTGGGATCAGCATGCTGTTGTTTTGTCATACAAACTTTCTCTTCACCATGGGAGAATACAGAACAGGATATTTTTGAATATTTACTCTTCTCGAATCCCTTCTTATTCCTACTTCTTAACAACAATAAGAATTTCTTTCTGTATCCAATATGATTTTCTATGAATTTTGTTAAGTAATATTCTGAAATTTTTCTTCCCCATGAAATTTCAAGGTGGCAAAACTGACATTCTGCTGTTAATTTACCCATGTAAGATGTGAAAAATTTCCATGTAGAATTTAACCTCAAACACTGGTAGCCTAAATGGAAGTTAAATACCAAAACAAATGATTTAGCTCATTTTTAAACATCATTACATCTAACAGAGGTATTCTGCAAAGATTTAAATTATGCTGTAATTAACTTCTGTTACATTTATATTATTATCTCAAATTTTATAAATGTATACGAAACATATTGCTTAAATTTTTGTGAATAATTTTATTAAAGTTCTCCAGATATTGTACTCTTTTTTTTTTTTTTTTGAGATTTATTTATTTATTTTAGAGGAAGACAGAGCATGAGCAGGAGGGACAGGGAATGGGAGAGAGAGAATCTGAAGCAGACTCCACTTTGAATGCAGAGCCCAACACTGGGCTCCATCCCAGGACCTGAGTTCATGACCTGTGTCATAACCCAGTCAGTTGCTTAACCAACTGAGCCACTCAGGTGCCCTGCACTCTTTTTAAATACTTGTAGTCACTACGAATTTCCCTATTTATTTTATAATTTACAAACAAAGAGCTTTAAAACAGAGACGGTAAAGATATAATCTCTCTGCTTGACTTATTTCTTTCAGAGATTATGCTGAGTGAAATAAGTCAAGCAGAAAGAGTCAATTATCATATGGTCTCACTTACTTGTGGAGCATAAGGAATAACACAGAGGACACTGGGAGATGGAGAGGAGAAGTGAGTTGGGGGAAATCGGAAGGGGAGACAAACCATGAGAGACTGTGGACTCTGAAAAACAAACTGAGGGTTTTGGAGGGGAGGGGAGTGGGGGGTTGGGTGAGCCTGGTGGTGGGTATTAAGGAGGGCACGGATTGCATGGAGCACTGGGTGTGGTGCATAAACAATGAATTTTGTAACACTGAAAAAAAAATTAAATAAAAAAAGAAAAAAAACTATTTGAAATGGTGACTGTGATGATGATTCAATCAGAATGCACATTCCTTAGGGAGTTACTTATATTATTATATATTATATGCAGGTTCTAAGCCCTCAGTTAAGTTTGGCTGTAGCCTGTCCTCCCTTCCAGTTTGGATCTGTTTGGAGCAGACTGGGAAGAGGGAGCTATGCGGTCTATTGAGGACTCAGTCAGAGATGAGCTAAGTCACAGGAATAGCATGTAAAGCCCACGAAGGAAGCAAGCATCTTTCGTTGAAGTCCTAGTGAAATCTATTTGTGGGACAAGAACAAGTTATTCATCTGCTTTTCTCCCAGGCTCATCCAATTTGATGCTATTGCCTTTGGTTCTAAAAATTCTGCTTTAAGCTTCAATCAGCTCTCACTGTATTTTGCAGTTGAAAATCAAATCTCTTACCTCTGGCAGTAGAACCTCCCCACCGAACTATCTTTGGTATGTTGATAATGTTGTCCTCTTTCTTCTCATACATCTCAATAAAGAAAAGTGTTATTTCTTAACTCAAATTCAATTATCATTTTTTCCATCTGTTTCTAAAAAACGTTGGGCTTTAATGTTTGAGAAAATTTGGTCTGCGAGCTCCATGATATTTGCCAGAGAAAGGTAGATACACCGGGAATGGGGAAGAATGTTAGAGTTCAACGCAGTGATCTAATTTAATACATTCATCACAAACAAGGTACTATGTTCCAAATAAGAGATTATTTGCTGGAGATCATGTAAATATTGAGTGGCAGAACAAGGTTTAAGACCCATATCTCTCATTTCAGTGGGTAGTGCTGTTTTTTCCTATTTCTTGCCTCCTTAGTAGGGAGTATGTTTTCCTCCAACAGCAGTTGAGAAAATAAAGTGATCTTTACATAGCCTGTCATCAAAAGGCAACAAACCCTGGATTTAAACAGTACTCATAGAATTCCGACAGCCTTTTCTCTGAATTTACAAAGTAGAGCAATGGGAAACGCATATTCTCTACACATCTATAATTTCACATATGAATTAAACAATTCATAAATTTTTTTGAGCTATGAGTTACATATAGCATTGTATCAATTGAAGGTATACAACATGTTGACTTGATACATTTATATGTTACAATATGATTAACACCGTAGCATTAGCTAACACCTTTATCACATCATATAATTATTATTTCTTTTGTGTGGTGAGTAAAAGAAAGATCTGGTCTCTTAGCAGCTTGGAAGTTTATTTTATAATTTAATATTGTTGACTAAAATCTCCACATGCTCGGCATTAAGTCTTCAGGAGTAATTTTTTTTTAATTTTTTGCTTTTTTTAGGAGCTATTTCTCTATTAGCTTCAAGTTTGTATGCTTGCATAACATCTCCCCAAATATTTAATGGAACGTCAGCAATATGGATGGGATAGATATTACCTGTTCATCATCATAGCAATTCAAGTAGGAAAAAGGAAGAGTGGTGTAAGAAATACCTCTACAACCACCCTCTAACTGTATCAGTCATTTGTTATTTAGTATATGTAACTCACTTGGTTAAGCTGTTTACACAAATTTCATCCAATGATCATAACAATCAATAGTGAGGTCCTACCACTAATCTCATTTTAATGATGAGTAGATTGAGCTAAGATGGAGAGGTTGAAGGACATGCTCCATGTATTAAGATGTAAGAAATAAAGTCACAATTTAAAGCCATAAACATTTTTTTAAAAAGAACTTTTAAATAACTATTTATTATTCATTAGATAATATTCATTAGATAATCCATTAGATAATTAGATAATATCTAATATTCAATTAGATAATAATCAATTAGATAATTATAGTAGATAATTAATTAGATAAACTTCCAAGCTGCTAAGAGACCAGATCTTACTTCTACCCACCACACAAAAGAAATAATAATTATATGATGTGATAAAGGTGTTAGCTAATGCTACAGTAGTAATCATATTGTAATATATAAATGTATCAAGTCAACATGTTGTATACTTTCAATTGATACAATGCTATATGTAAATTACAGCTCAATAAAAATGTGCAAATTGTTTAATTCTTATGTGAAATTATTTTTAAATGAAATTCTTGGTATTTGACTTTGTATACAAATTTAACAGCTTTTACAAAACCATCATTGTAGCACTTTATTCTTGATAATATACATAGATTTGTATTTCATAGCACTGAAAGGAGTTTCAACAAGTAGATCAGGTAGAGATTTTTTAACTCAATTTGTTATATATCTGCTGCTTGATTAAACTTAAATAAATATGTGAACATTAACAATGAATCCAAATGGACGCAAAGGTTGTACTGACATTGATTAAATAAGATGACTACCAGTGTTGGTTTATGAACAATGATCACACACAAGTCAAAGAATTCCAATAATGACATTGACGATACAATGTTAACATGAGAAGACTGGCTTCTGCTGTAGGACACTCAGCAGATTTTGCTGGAGGATCTTTGAGGAAGAGGATGGGCCAGGAACCCACAGAAAATTCAAGGCTCAGGCAATACTGTAAACCTTTGCAGGTCTCCTGGGTAAGTAAGTCCCATTATAACTAAACCATGGTGAATTCACTCCTAGTGAGTCAGATACACCAGGTGGAGTTGTTTGTTGCACAATGGAAACTTTATTTGCGGCAAATGAGATCACAGGGAATAACTTCCAAAGCCATGGTCCCCCATGCAAGGGTGAATGGGTTCCTTTTATTTAGGGTTTGGAAGAATATTTAGATAGGGAAACCTTCTCACTGTATGTAGAGGCGGGCATAAAGCCATGCATGCACCTTAAGGAAACATACAGATATTGTATATTATAAAAGTGAGGCTTGCGGTCCTCCTTGGGTGGAGATTTCAGTATTATAATGAAGTAAAGGTAACTGTCAGTCTTTCCAGAGGTCACTCCATGGTTCATCTGCGAGGCATCAGTAGATGGTCACTTTCAAACTGGTCTGGGTGGTCTGGGCTGGCTGGAGGTCTTGCCCGGAGAGTCACTTTGCCTGAGGGGTGGTTTCTGTTTCCATTTGCCTGAGTGAAGAGATAAATTGGAAAGAAGAGCTTAAGGTAAAATGTGGGACAATGGTCAATGAGTACAAGCAGGTGGGCAGTAAAAGCCAGGTCTTGGGGTCCAGCTGAGGACAGCAGGTTGTCCCAGAAGCTGTGATCGATATGATGCAAGCCCATCCAACCCCTAAGAATGGGAAAGAGGTGCAAGTCTTTGTAGGGATTTTGGGGCTGTGGAGACTTTTATTTCCCATGTGTCACAGTCCCTTCATCCTTTATGTCACCTGGTGAAGAAGGGGCACACCTACAATGGGGAATCGGAAATATATAAGCTGCCTTTGAGAAAGCCCAAGTGCTAGTGGGGCATGTCAAATCTCTGGGCGTCTCCCAAGCAGGCCTAGTATTTGAGTTAGATGTGTCTGTGACTTCGGGAGTTGTGGGTCAGGCACCATGGCAGAGCCAACAGAAAGGGAGAGTGCCGTTTGGATTTTGGTCCCAGCTCTGGAAGGGGCCAGAAACCCAATACACTCCCAGGGAGCAGCAGCTCCTAACAGTTTACACAGTGTTCCTTCAGAGAGAGCCTCTCACGAAGGAAGAGCAGACTGTGGTGAGAACTACTCTGCCTGTGAAGGAAGGGGTGGGTTGAGAGCATGTTCTATTGATCCACCTCGGCCATGGCTTACACCCCTCCTTTGAATAAGTGACGGGTCTCTTTGTAGCAGAGGAGCCCCCTCTCCACCAGCCTACTGTCTCTAGGAAGGTGGGGGCTACAAGCTCTTGTGGGGTATGTAGCTCATCCAGATCCCCCCGCCCCCATGTCTATGGCAACCCTGTAGCCTGCAAAGAAGGGGCAAGGGAAATTCCTGCCGATGCCTGGTACACAGATAGTCTAGTCAGGGAAGTCCACCCACGTGGACTGCTGTTGCCATTCAACCCGATGATGGATACCATCTAGGGAGAAACAGGAACAAACTGTAGTGGCCCGTGGGCTGAGCTCAGAGCAGTCTCAGTGGTGATCCCCGTGTGCCTGGCTCTTAACCCTTTGCCCTGATAGCTATGCTGCTCTAAAGGGATTAACCATATGACATGAACAAAGGGAAGCCAAGGGGTGGATAATTATGAATAAGCCCTTATGGGGTCAGGATATGGGAAAGACATTTGGGTCCACCTGCAAAAGCCCGAATGGCCCTCACTGTTTTCCATGTCCCAGTTCAGAAAGCATCAGCACCAACCCCCCCCACCCCCCAAGCCCCGCCACAATCAGAAGCTGAGACCTTAGCTCAGGAGTGAACCTTAGCTCCTGACTCTCCAGTAGATATGGTAGATTGGATGAGCCACACCCAGGATGGCATATTGCCGGGAAGGCTGGATTGCCTTTGAAGGACAGTGACTTGCTTAATGCAGTAACAGCGTGTCCTGTGTAATCTAAACAAGCCCACAGCAACTGCCAGAAGAAGCTGGGGGTCATTCACCAGAGTTTCTAGCTAGTGAGGGACTGGCAAATTGATTATATTGGCCCCCTCCCACTGAATGAGGGTTCTAGCCAAGCCCTGGTTTGTGTGGACACAGCACCTGGCCTAACCCAGGCTTCCCCCTGTGGCCATGCAAACCAGGCCGTCACCATTGGGGGACTGAAGAAATTGAGTACCATACCCTCATCGAATAGTGATTGGGGGGGTCACATTTCAAACGTCATGATATGTAAGACTGGGCAAAAGAATGTCATTGAATGGAAATTCCATCTCCTTTATTACCCATGAGCAGTGGGGGTGGTAGGAAAAATCTTACAAAACTGCAAATCTGCTATTATTTCTGTAATTTAAATCCAACAAGAGCTCTCCACACATCTTTTAAAATAAAGTTTAGACTTGATACTATGGCCCACAGGCTGTTCATTAGCAGCTATCATTTCAGTATGCTTCTCAAAACATTTCCACACACACTTGTAATAATATGATTAACGCTCCTGCTCTTTCTGCCCCCAACTGGAAGTTAGACTGCTTGTGTTCTTTCTCTCGGAATCTCAAGTGCTTAGAATTCATGTTTAAAAAAATACATAAAAAACAAAGGGAGGGGCACCTGGGTGCTCAGTGGGTTAAAGCCTCTGTCTTCAGCTCAGGTCATGATCTCAGGGTCCTGGGCTCGAGCCCCACATCAGGCTCTCTGCTCAGTGGGGAGCCTGCTTCCCCTCTCCCTCTGCCGGCTTCTCTTCTCTGCCTACCTGTGATCTCTCTCTGTCAAATAAATAAATAAAATCTTTAAAAAAAAAAAAAACAGAAACAAGAGGGAAAATGAGTGGAGGTGGATGCCATACCCAGGAAGTTTCTATAATGATCACAAAGAAGTCCTTGTTCCTAAAAATAGCCAGTTTATATCAATCCTTTGGAAGAGAGATTAACAGCATAAAAATGATTAATATTTTTCAATATTTTTGATAAAATTTTGGAGGGAGTTCAAACCCACATTTGAATTTGTAATTGTTTTTCTAATATAAATTGTGCCAAAAATAATCATTCTTCAGAGTGAATGAGGCCAAACCTTAATGGATGAAACTTCACACTTCATTATGCTTGTTTTGCAATTTCTTAAAAACTTAAATCTCTGAAGTTTCTTCCTCTCATTGTTATTTTTTACTGTAAGCCCTAAACAATGTTAAATCTGTTGTAAAACTGCTATCATAACCAAATTACAACTTTCAAGAAAGCACTTACCTTAATAAAGATATTCAATAAATATCAGGACTCTTTATTTCCTAGGTTTTAATTAAAGCCCAGAATCTTGGAATGTTTTCCCTCTTCCTTTCATACATTATCAAATACATTTTTTATATGGTCTGTGTTTTTCCCTCACTTTCACTTTACTTTTAAATTTTTGCTCTCTTGTTGTTTAATCCAACTCATTCTTTCTGGATATTTTGGATTCAAACATGTAACAGATGATTTCTTTCCTGTTGAGGAAGGTCTTTTTTTTTTTTTTTCAGTGTTATGATCTCATGAATATAATTGGGTATATTTACTTCAGAATTCAAATATAGTTCTGTTCAAGATATATTTGCTTTACACGTATATTTGGGGAATGACTGAAAAGCTAAACTAAATCTGACTGTATCCCTTTCAAATGGGCATGAAGCATCAGGTGTCCTGAAGACCCACATCCAAACAAACAGAGAAATCAGTGCCTCCCCAAAATTATGACTTTTTTTTGGTCCCATGAAGATCCAGGAGCTGTTCTGGTCTTTTGGCCATTAGTTTTTATGTCGTCACTACTCTGATTCTAGGACTGTTTCTCCAATATGGAGACACACCCATTGTCAGAGGAAGTAACTGAAATCTCCATTATATCCTCTTTGTTTCCTCAATGTTTTGCTTCTTCTGCTCTTTGACTTGTACTGGTTGGCCTCTCCTGCTCACCTTTGCCTTGAGATAAACGTTATTTGGAGTTATATTTTCTATAGTCATTTCTGCTGTGTTAGCAAAACTCTTCATAGTAGCTGTGGCTTTCAAAGCCATAAAACCAGGAAACACTCCAAATGTGGTTGGTGAACCAATTCTCAATGGCTCTAGTCCACAGTGGCTCCCTTGCTCAAGTACTTGTCTGCATAATCTGGCTGGGAACTGCTCCCTCTTTCCCTACCATTGACACACAATCAATTTGGTAAAATGCAGCAAGGGATGCACCACTATCTTCTATTGTGTTCTGGGTAACTGGGGCTCTCTAGCACTTCTGACCTTGACTATTGCTTTTCTGGCTATAAGGCTACCAGACAGTTTTGGGGCACCTGGGTGGCTCAGTTGGTTAAGCATCTTCCTTGGGCTCAGGTCATGATTCTAGGGTCCTGGGATGGGCCCCATGTCAGGTTTTCAGCTTAGTGGGAAGCCTGCTTCTCCCTCTCCTCCCCACTTGTGCTCTCTCTCGTTATCTCTGTCTCCTTCTCAAAACAAAACAAAACAAAACAAAACAAAACAAAACAAAACAAAACAAAACAAAATGGATACCAGACAGTTTCAGTAAGCCCCAAATGATCACATTCAACATGCTGATTTTCTGTAGTGTGTGGATTTCTTCCATACCCACCTATCTGAGCACCAAAGACAAAGCCGTGGCAGCTTTGCAAACCTTTTCAATCTTGGCTTCCAGTGCTGGTTTACTGGGTTGTGTATTTCTTCCCAAGTGATATGTGATCCTATTAAGATTGGGTAGGAATTCAAGGAAAAGAACTTGCATATTTTCCTCCCCAAAAGTAAAAGGAATACTTGTTCAAGTGACACCATTGACACAAAATGAACAGTAATATGGAAATAAAGATTCCAAAGTGTGGCATGAAATAAATGCATTTCATCAAAACAATGACAGTTGTTTTTTAATCGAATGACACCATCATCCCTGTGGGCAGCAGGCCATGGTGTAAAAAGCTCTGGGGTCAGATAGAGCAACGTTCAATTTCAACACCCCTACTGGCTGACTCTGACTTCTGGTGTATCCAATTAACATTCCTTTGAATTGCATGCATCTTTCTCCTCTTTAAACAACATGTTAGGGGTTAGGGTGACAATTAAGTAAAATCATCCATGTGAAAATATAATGGGTACTCAAAAATATGCTTCCTTTATGTTAACTATCTTTTTCTTCTTATTTCAATAAAAATTAAATTTTAAGGCATTTTAAGTTCAGGGGGTTGAAAGCTAGCGGTCTAGTTGTCCCTCATTAAACTATTCATAAACCCCAAACAAGATGAAATTTGAGCTTTGGGCAGTCTAAATGGGCTTTCATATGTCCATATGGATCCAAGACTAGGGAGAAAAGTGAGGAAAACAGACAGTGCTTACTGCTGGTGCCTCCAATATGGAAGTGGAGAAGCTTGACCGACTGAGAGAGAGAAGACCGTCCTTTATGGGAAAGGTTGTTTTTGAATATACTCAGAACTTTCAAACATCTTTTCTTTTCTCTTCTCCCTACTGATATCCGATATCCCTTACAATTTCTTTTTTTTTTCCCTAAAGATTTTATTTGTTTATTTGACAGACAGAGATCACAAGTAGGCAGAGAGGCAGGTAGAGAGAGAGAGAGGAAGAAGCAGGCTCCATGCCGAGCAGAGAGCCCGATGAAGGGCTCGATCCCAGGACCCTGGGATCATGACCTGAGCCCAAGGCAGAGGCTTTAACCCGCTGAGCCACCCAGGCGCCCCTCCCTTACAATTTCTTAAGCTGTATTTTCCAGTAGTGAGATATGTAAGGGACTAGATGTGAATTAAGAAATGAGGTTTTGATCCAGGAATGTAAGATTAACAACTGTAAATAAAAGCACCTGGATGAACTATAGAACAGTTCTCTCTGAGAGATGGAGTTTTCAGTTATTTTTTTCTGGCAAGGGAATTCTTCTGCACAGACCATTTCTGATTGTCCAGTAAGAGATCTGTCCTCCTCAGTTAGCTCTCCTAAGTTGCCAGGTCAACATCTGCATGTACATACAGACGAGCGCCACATTCTTGATTTCTGGAGCTTAAGCTAGAGTTTGCTATGGTAGTCAGGGTCTCTGCTGAGGCACGGCGGCCATCCGCCAAGTAATAAAAGCATTGGAAATGGATTCTTGTAGGTTACTGCATCAGGTAAATGTTTTTTAGTTTTTGTTTTGTCTTGTTTTTGTTTTTTTTTGTGTTTTTTTTTTTTTTTTCTTTTTAGAGCAGGAGTTATATGTCATTCAAAGTTCTGGAGCTTGAGAGGAATTATGCTTGCACGTAATATTGAACACAGTACAACTGTCAGACGAAGGAACGTTGATTTAAAAGTATTCTTAGCTTAACTCCATTCTCAATTGACACCTATCTTTTTTCTTTCTGTAATAAAATAGATTTATTTTTTAAAAAGATTTATGTATATATTTTAGGGGGGGGCAGAGGGAGAGAGAGAATCTCAAGCAAAAGCCCCACTGAACAGGGAGCCCAACACAGGGCTTGATCTCACAACCCTAAGATCATGACCAGAGCTGAAATCAAGTCAGATGTTCAACTGACTGAGCCACCCAGGTGCTCACAAAATAGATTCCTAACTAAAATTAAGATAGGTTTACCACTTTGGTTATACTGAACTGAGTTGCTTCTATTTGGTCATAAATTTGTAGCAAAGGGAAAGAATATTCCATTAGAATCTGCTTTGATGTGAATAAGGCAAATTATACTCAGTTTATTACCCGATGATAATGGAAAAGACGGTGTTGTAGAAGTTGTGTTGGAAAGTTTCTACAGCTATATTATGCATCCATTCATTGGAACTTACAGCTTAAGAAGGGATAAGGTTAGTTTAAAAAAAAATGGAAGATCAGCACAATTATGACAATGTAAGGTCACATTTTCTAGAGCAAATCTTTCTGTGTTGGGGTTGCATATCAAGCACTGAATTGTAAGGAATAGATAGAAGGAATAAATGTCTTCAGAAACATTCCCATATAAATGGTAGAAATTTTTTAACCCTCTTGAGGGAGCCTAACCAAGTATTTAAATGGATATCAAATATGTATTTCTTTTTTTTTTTTTTTTAGATTTTACTTATTTATTTGACAGAGAGAGAGAGCACAAGCAGGGGGAGTGGGAGAGAGTGAAGCAGACTCCCCAATGAGCAGGGAACCCCATGTGGGGCTTGATCTCAAAACCCCAGGATCATGACTTGAAATGAAGGAAGACGCTTAACCGACCGAGACAACTGGGCCTCCCATTATCAGATATGTATTTCAAACCAAATGTTCACAAGTTGAAATGGACTGTAAGGGGGTACCCTGTGCAGCAATTGAGTCGTGGTGAATGCAGAATACCTCATCATCCAATGGTTCTTTACAAAATATCTAAACTTATTATTTTGTAACATAGTACACTTAAAAGTATAGATAATGTCCAAGTACTGTTTAAAAAATTTTCATTCCATAAAAGCCTTTTTATGACCATGTTGCTAAAAAAAGTATTAGTACCAGGGCTCCTGGGTGGCTCCATTGGTTAAGAATCTGCCTTTGGCTGAGGTCACGAACTCAGGGTGCTGGAATCAAGACCCTCATGGGCTCCCTGCCTCTCCTTCTCCCTCTGCCCCTCCCCCCAACTTGTGCTCACTCTGTCTCCCTCTGTCTCAAATACATAAATACAATCCTAAAATCGATATAGATATAGATATAGATATAGATATAGATATAGATATAGATATAGATATAGATATAGATATCAGTACTTATGAAGGACGTCGGTCCCTGGATGTCCTTTCCCCAACCACATTCTGCCCCCTGCCGTTCTCTAGAGGGAAGCTCTACTCTAAATTTTGTGTTCATCATTTCCTTGCTTTGTTTGAAAACAGTTTTCCATCCCAAGGTAATACCTTGTTGAATTTTTACTGCTTTTCAACTTTATATAATGTATCATATTGTATATATTCTTCTGTAATTTGCTATATTTCAAAAGCCTGTTTTAAGGATTTATATGCATAGTCATATGTCATATAGTTTTAGTTCATTCTTTGTTCTGACTGCATATTGTATATTGTTGTGTAAGAATAGTAGCAAATGGTGCTGTTTCTTCTATTCTATTCTATTCCTCTATTCTTGTACAAATCTGTTTATATGGGTGCTATTTCTCTAGAAGTGGGATTTCTGTGTCATAGGGGATTTCTTTGCTAGGAAGTATCAAATTGCTTTCTAAATTCTATTTCTAAATTCTATATATGAATTTTCAACAGCTGTTTATATAAAATCCCACTGCTCCACACTTTTACCAAACTTTGGTCATTGTCAGACTGTTAATTTTGTCACTTTGAGATTATGAAGTGGTATTTCATTTTGTCTTATAATTCCCTGATTCATAATGAAATTGTCATTTTACTTCCGCTTTTCTTTGAAATACAATAACTTCACAATGACATGACTAAGTGTTGGATTTCTTTTTTAAATCATGCCTGGGATATTCTGGCCTTTCTAAATATGTAGAGTGACTTTTACTATTTTAGGAAAATTCCCAGACGTTTAAGAAAGTATTATGTATCCCCTAGTCTCTATCTCCTCTCCTTAGAGATATATAATAGTCTTATTCTATGCCTCTTAACCTCTATTTTTTCTATACTTTCTATATCTTTCAATGTCCCTTAAGTTCTATTTTCTGGTTTTCATCAAAGAGAAAAATTATTTATCTTCATAAATTGCCTTTCTCTATTTAAGGATCTTGACAAAATTTAATATCCATTCTTCACACAAACACTTGGGGAAGTACAGCCTGGTTATCTCTAAAACCAGCTTCTATCTTAGTGGGGAGACACTATGACATTCCCACTAAGGTCAAGAACAAGGCAAGAGGCTCACTTATTTCCATTACTCCTTAGTACTATATTGGAGGTATGGGCCAGTGCATTTTTTTTTAAAGGAAAATAACTAGAAACCTAGCAAATGGAAAAGAAGATACAAAACTATCTCTAATAGCAGATGATATGGTAATATACTTGAAACATCTAAGACAATCAAGGATGCAAACAATGAAATGAATTTAGGAAGAGAGTAGAAGAGAAAACGAGCGTACAAAATCAATGTGTATACAAACACAACCAGGCAGAAGAGAAAACTCTATTTACAATAACAACAGGTAAGATAACAATTCCTGGAAATCAAC